ACTTATCTCCCTTACTGAAATCTTTGAATGTTATGTATTAAGTCACTACACATCCTTTCAAGTGTATGTATGTATATATATATATATTTTTTTTGCAGGGATATTAAACATTCCTCCCCGGCAGGGATGTGTATATGTATGTATGTATGTATGTATGTATGTATGTATGTATGTATGTATGTATGTATATATATATATATATATATATATATATATATATATATATATATATATCCCCTCCCAGGGGATGAAAGGAAAAATACTTGATCAAGGAACTTAGCTGGTCGGTGAATTGTACGCCCTGCTCGCGTTACATAACCATCAAAGTTAACTTCCTCCTCTTCGCTGATGTCATCTAACTGGGGTCGTAGGGTAGGAGGTCGCACAGGATCGTCCGTCGTCGTAGGATCAGGTTGTGGTGCGGCTGGTAACTGGGGTCGAAAAGTGAACTGCGTAGTCGGCGGATGTGTCTCTGGATTCAGCAGTGTCGCAGACGTTGAGACGAAGCCTGGAGCAGAGCAGAGAGCTGAGTGAGGCCGGAGTCGTGGAGCTCTATGTGGGAGAGCGTGGCGGCTCGATTGAGAATTGTGAGTGTCTAAACTCGGGGAGCGAGAGCGTGGTGGCTCGATGCGGTCGTAGTCTGCTGTCTGCTCTGTGTCGAAGCTGTAGCGTCTTGGGTTGATTAGGACTGTACACGCCGAGTACTACATTGTTGACTGTGGAAATTGTAGTCTGGTACTAAAAGATGTAGGCAGTGTGTGGACAAGCTCGGTGTAGCAGGAGAGAAGAATGTGCATAATTGTTGCGTCCTTGGGTCGCTGGTGGAGCATTTAGATCCGGGGCGGATGGGCTCGGGCACCAGGACATTAGGAGGTAATGTAGGCACGTAGTTAGGACAACGAGGTAATCACATCTAGAGCTGAATTGTCCTGAAGGCGACGAAGTGTCGGAAACGCAAGCTGTAGGTCCTGTACTGCGCAAAGGGCTTGAGTCGCCGAGTATCAAAATGCAGTGAACGTGTAGATGAATCTGATGACAGAGCAGCTGTCGTGGGCGTAGGACAAGCAGTGTCCTGGCAGCGACGGAGAGTCGGCAGGACAAGCTGAAGATCCAACATGATGTAATCATTGATGAGGCTGTCAGATGAGTGAGTAACGATCGTGGAGCAGCGAGCCGTAGTAGATGAAAATGCAGAGATGGACACGATGAAAATCATAGCTGTGGCGAGGGTAATGGCAGTATTCCATCACAGCAAACAGTAGCACTAGAGGTCCAGTGAGAGTCCATGTTGTAGTCCATCGTGGCTGGGTATCGTCGAAACTTCGTGAAGGCCGAAAATAGCCTCCATCTGCATGAACCAAAATTCTGGCTCATCTGCGTTGTATGCTGGAAACCTGGTAGATAAATCCATGACGAAGATCTAGTTTGTGACTAGGTGTTCTTTTCACTCACTGGGTCACCAATGTAACGGTTCTATTGTTACGTAAAGTATGGTGACAAATAAACACAGACACTAAGATACTATATATATATTTGGTCGAATATACAGAAGTACATCGGTGATACTTTGGTGTGAGTTGAGCGCACTGAGCGTCGGTACAGTATCTCGCAAGTGTCTGCTCTAGACCACACTTGAAAGTAGACTCTGGTTAATGTTTGCTATTGCTGCTTATATGCCCAGGCAACTCCTCACCGTATTGCCCGGGCAACGCCTTACCTCATTCATCTCCAAAGATTGACAGGAATATTAACAATGCATTTGGAGCGAGTATATTATTGGATAATCTACTCGCTACAATATATATATATATGCATGCGAGCAAGCTTGAATGGACCCCAAGCATATATGCAAATGAAAACTCCACACCCCAGAAGTGACTCGAACCTGGACCTCCAGGAGCACATTGCAACTGATGTCAAGGTGCCTTAATCCACTCGACCATCAGTGACCACACATAAAGAGGTGATAGCCGAAGATATTTGACCCCCCCCCCGGCGGCACTTTGATGATAATCTTGGGCATAGCTATTTCATCAAATCACTTCATTTTATGCCACTGGGGGGGGGGGGGGCTTCAAATAGCTTCGGCTATCACCTCATAGTGATCATATCACCTCTTTTTTCTTGTCTTCTAGTTTGGCATAGTTAATGCTTCTAACCTCTCCTCATAGCTCTTGCCCTTCAGTTCTGGGAGCCATTTAGTAGCATGTCTTTGCACCTTTTCAAGTTTGTTGATGTGCTTCTTAAGATATGGGCACCATACAACCGCTGCATATTCTAGCTTTGGCCTAACGAAAGTCGTGAACAATTTCTTTAGTATTTCGCCATCCATTTACTTAAAAGCAATTCTGAAGTTAGAAAGTGTTGCATAGGCTCCTTGCACAATGTTATTTATGTGGTCCTCAGGTGACAGTTTTCTATCTAGAACCACCCATAGATCTCTTTCTTTATCAGAATTCTTTAAAGATTTCTCACATAATTTATAGGTTGTGTGAGGTCTATGTTCTCCTATTCCACATTCCATAACATGGCATTTATTCACATTAAAATACATTTGCCAAATCAACCAGGACCAGGAAAGGAGGGTGTTCACTTTGGTCTCTGCCTCTTGGAGTTGGACAGCTTCACAGAAGTAATACTGTGAGCTTCACAGAATTAATACTGTGAGCTTCACAAGAAGTAATACTGTGAGCTTCACAAGAAGTAATACTGTGAGCTTCACAAGAAGTAATACTGTGAGCTTCACAGAAGTAATACTGTGAGCTTCACAGAAGTAATACTGTGAGCTTCACAGAAGTAATACTGTGAGCTTCACAGAAGTAATACTGTGAGCTTCACAAGAAGTAATACTGTGAGCTTCACAAGAAGTAATACTGTGAGCTTCACAGAAGTAATACTGTGAGCTTCACAAGAAGTAATACTGTGAGCTTCACAAGAAGTAATACTGTGAGCTTCACAAGAAGTAATACTGTGAGCTTCACAAGAAGTAATACTGTGAGCTTCACAAGAAGTAATACTGTGAGCTTCACAAGAAGTAATACTGTGAGCTTCACAAGAAGTAATACTGTGAGCTTCACAGAATACTGTGAGCTTCACAAGAAGTAATACTGTGAGCTTCACAAGAAGTAATACTGTGAGCTTCACAAGAAGTAATGTTGTGATCTTCACAAAGTTCAATGTGGTTTACGTTCAATGACACAAACTTTACAAGTAATTACTGTATATTACTTTAAAAATCAATTTACATTTTCCATGTGAAAATAAAATATCAATGTAAAAGATGAGAGATTAATTTATTTATTTAATTTTCTACCCATACAGAAAGTATACAAAATGTCGCCATCTACAACTAATAAGAATACAAAAGCAAATATATAAACAATATAATTCATTCATTCTTCATTCAAGAAGTCTATTCACAAAATAATTTTCTCTTGTAATCTTTTGTTTAACATAAGCAATGGCAAACTTTTAATGTACCTGTGGAAGTATGCTTGTAGTAGCAGACTTGTCTCTTGTGAGGAGACAGTGAAGCCTCACATTATTGTGTTAGAGCAGTGTTAATGTGTCAGAGTGAGGGTCTAGTCCTGTACACCCACAGAGTACCCAGTGTACACCCAGAGTACCCAGTGTACACCCACGGAGTACCCAGTGTACACCCACAGAGTACCCAGTGTACACCCACAGAGTACCCAGTGTACACCCACGGAGTACCCAGTGTACATCCACGGAGTACCCAGTGTACACCCACGGAGTACCCAGTGTACACCCAGTGTACACCCAGAGTACCCAGTGTACACCCACAGAGTACCCAGTGTACACCCACAGAGTACCCAGTGTACACCCACAGAGTACCCAGTGTACACCCAGTGTACACCCAGAGTACCCAGTGTACACCCACAGAGTACCCAGTGTACACCCAGAGTACCCAGTGTACACCCACGGAGTACCCAGTGTACACCCACGGAGTACCCAGTGTACACCCACGGAGTACCCAGTGTACACCCAGAGTACCCAGTGTACACCCACAGAGTACCCAGTGTACACCCACAGAGTACCCAGTGTACACCCACAGAGTACCCAGTGTACACCCACAGAGTACCCAGTGTACACCCACAGAGTACCCAGTGTACACCCACAGAGTACCCAGTATACACCTGCAGAGTACCCAGTGTACACCCACAGAGTACCCAGTGTACACCCACGGAGTACCCAGTGTACACCCACAGAGTACCCAGTGTACACCCACAGAGTACCCAGTGTACACCCACGGAGTACCCAGTGTACACCCACAGAGTACCCAGTGTACACCCACAGAGTACCCAGTGTACACCCACAGAGTACCCAGTATACACCTGCAGAGTACCCAGTATACACCTGCAGAGTACACAGTGTACACCCACAGAGTACCCAGTGTACACCCACAGAGTACCCAGTATACACCTGCAGAGTACCCAGTGTACACCCACAGAGTACCCAGTGTACACCCACGGAGTACCCAGTGTACATCCACGGAGTACCCAGTGTACACCCACAGAGTACCCAGTGTACACCCACAGAGTACCCAGTGTACACCTGACAAAGGTGAAGTATAAGAGCAAGAAAATAACAACAATTGCACCACTGGGAATAATGTAGTTATTATTAAGCAATACAACATGTGCATAAATTAACTATATTGTATTAGATGTAAAAATTAGAACATATATTAATGATAATAAACATGACATATAACAATAAAAGTGCCAATCTGTTGTTAATTTACAGATAAACAATGAAGAAAGCGTATTGATCAAGGCATGATCATGATGGGGGGTGAAGACCCAGAACAGTACTCACCACTACACAACCCGCCACTCCAACATTTACCAAGACCCACCATTGCAGTATTAACATATTATGAAATTTGAAGATAACCAATAACATTCAAATTTAAAAAAATACTTTTTAAATCATTTTGTTATTATTTAAGAAAAGGTAAAAGAAGAAAACTATTGATGTCCTAACAAAAGACAAAGTATCTAGGTATTTATATACACATCAATGTACAACAATGTAAACTGGGTAAACCGGATTTGTAACCGTCTAGAAGAGCCGCACCCGGCTGAGCTTAGCATCAATCTCCTCGAGAACACTGTCCACCCGCTCGCTTACACCCCGGAACACTGACGGCTCAGGACCGATCATTTTGATAAGGGCCGGAACCTCCGTGGAAGAATAACAGAATCTGAGAGGACCAAAAAAGATTTACTAAACTAAAGGGCACATTATAAATACGTATTACAGATACTGAATTTTGTGGACGTTTTGCTTGCTGAAACAAATGGAGGCATTATATGTGAGAAATATCTATAATAAAGTATCCAGTATCTAATATTATATTTGTTCTTACTAGTTTTTCAATCAGTAATGACAAGTGTAAGTAATGGTGTGGAGAAGGAGTGAACCCACCTGCAGAGAGCAGTCATTGTGCGCCACAAGAGCTCCTCGGGAGGATGATTGTTGAAGAACTGAAGGATTGCCATAGCCAGTTCTGGAGCAACATCATCAAACACAACAGTCTTCACCTCCTTCGTTCCCAGGTTGTACATGATGGCTGATCCATATTCTTGCACCTGTGTCATAACACTAAATATTAGTCAACTGCTTTATAATGTGTACAATGAGTGTCTGTGTAGGAATTATTTTGTTTTTTTTTTACTGTGCAGTTATAGGATGAGAGGTACACTCATGTGTTCCGCCACTCCTGACGCTACCAACCACTACTGGTACAGTGACACAGCCAAAACATCCAAAACACACACAAACACACACACACACACACACACACACACATCCAACCATCAACATCCATATTATTATACCATGCACGACACCAATAAAGTATTGTCACCTCACAACACACCAACTGCCCCTACCTTCTGTGGTTGATTGTTCAATAAACCCCTGAACCCCTGTTTAACACATCTCTAACCCTGTCCATGGAGGACAGAAGAAAATGTATATACAGGTATGCTGATTAGCATTGTAAATGTGTGGCCACGTCTGTGGTAGAAAATAATAATAATAATAAACTGACACAGACTAAGTAAAGCCTCACCTCATCCCGTCCTCCATTGTGTATATGTAATGCCAAACCTTCCCATATGTATTTACATCTCTCTGCCTTTGTACATGTTCAAGATTCACAACTTGTTCATTAATGGTATGCATCAGGTCCAATAAAACTGGAAAATGAACTTGAGAGTTAACTTTCAACTTCTTTCCGAAAGGAAAATCACAAAAAATATAAGAGACGATTTGTGCTAGTCTTCGACCAACCCTTCAATAAACCCTTCAATAAACCCTTCAATAAACCCTTCAATAAACCCTTCAATAAACCCTTCAATAAACCCTTCAATAAACCCACACACCCACACACACGGAGAAATATAAGAACATTCACTTTTGTAAACAGAGTGGTAGACGGTTGGAACAAATTAGGTGAGAAGGTGGTGGAGGCCAAAACCGTCAGTAATTTCAAAGCGTTATATGACAAAGAGTACTGGGAAGACGGAACACCACGAGCGTAGCTCTCATCCTGTAACTACACGTAGGTAATTACACAAACTACGAGGAGATAAGAAAACTCCTAACAGAAACAACACGGGAAACAGATCTCAGGGAAAAGATGGCCCAAGATATGATTGAATTATCACTTACAGTAACAGCACAGCTGCTAGTAATGCAAGAATTAAGTCAAAGGTAAATTGGATGGGAATCAATATATCCGAGAGAGGGACATGAAGAGTAAAGCTGGTCGAAGTTGCAGCAAGAAACTTCCCAACACAACATATGAGGGAGGAAACACGGAGACAAGCAGTACACAACCACCATCATTACCAACACAACATGTTAGGGAGGAAACACGGAGACAAGCAGTACACAACCACCATCATTACCAACACAACATGTTAGGGAGGAAACACGGAGACAAGGAGTACACAACCACCATCATTACCAACACAACATATGAGGGAGGAAACACGGAGACAAGCAGTACACAACCACCATCATTACCAACACAACATGTTAGGGAGGAAACACGGAGACAAGCAGTACACAACCACCATCATTACCAACACAACATGTTAGGGAGGAAACACGGAGACAAGCAGTACACAACCACCATCATTACCAACACAACATGTTAGGGAGGAAACACGGAGACAAGCAGTACACAACCACCATCATTACCAACACAACATGTTAGGGAGGAAACACGGAGACAAGCAGTACACAACCACCATCATTACCAACACAACATGTTAGGGAGGAAACACGGAGACAAGCAGTACACAACCACCATCATTACCAACACAACATGTTAGGGAGGAAACACGGAGACAAGCAGTACACAACCACCATCATTACCAACACAACATGTTAGGGAGGAAACACGGAGACAAGCAGTATCACAACACAACATATTAGGGAGGAAACACGGAGACAAGCAGTACACAACCACCATCATTACCAACACAACATGTTAGGGAGGAAACACGGAGACAAGCAGCACACAACCATCATCATTACCAACACAACATGTTAGGGAGGAAACACGGAGACAAGCAGTACACAACCATCATCAGTACCAACACAACATATTAGGGAGGAAACACGGAGACAAGCAGTACACAACCACCATCATTACCAACACAACATATGAGGGAGGAAACACGGAGACAAGCAGTACACAACCACCATCATTACCAACACAACATGTTAGGGAGGAAACACGGAGACAAGCAGTACACAACCACCATCATTACCAACACAACATGTTAGGGAGGAAACACGGAGACAAGCAGTACACAACCACCATCATTACCAACACAACATGTTAGGGAGGAAACACGGAGACAAGCAGTACACAACCACCATCATTACCAACACAACATATGAGGGAGGAAACACGGAGACAAGCAGTACACAACCACCATCATTACCAACACAACATATGAGGGAGGAAACACGGAGACAAGCAGTACACAACCACCATCATTACCAACACAACATATGAGGGAGGAAACACGGAGACAAGCAGTACACAACCACCATCATTACCAACACAACATGTTAGGGAGGAAACACGGAGACAAGCAGTACACAACCACCATCATTACCAACACAACATGTTAGGGAGGAAACACGGAGACAAGCAGTACACAACCACCATCATTACCAACACAACATGTTAGGGAGGAAACACGGAGACAAGCAGTACACAACCACCATCATTACCAACACAACATATGAGGGAGGAAACACGGAGACAAGCAGTACACAACCACCATCATTACCAACACAACATGTTAGGGAGGAAACACGGAGACAAGCAGTACACAACCACCATCATTACCAACACAACATGTTAGGGAGGAAACACGGAGACAAGCAGTACACAACCACCATCATTACACTCAGTCTTCGTACAAAGCAAAATATACATTGAGAACATTGACCATGAAATGCCAATAGGGGCTAGATACCATTGTGTATATAATGGTCTTTGATTATAATAACTATTTACCTGAGGGCCACTAACACTAGTGGCCTCGACGCAAACAGGAAGCCGGCGGCCTGTCAAAGGGTCCCCTCATTTGCCCTGATAATTTTTTACAGCTAGATTTTAAATTTTAACAGAGTTTTGGCATTTACGGCTTTGGCGGGTAGGCGGTTCATGGATTTATAACCCTGTGGGTGCAAAAGCATCTTCCATTTTCAGTCCTACATTGTGGACTGTTGAGCTTGAAACTGTTGCTCCTTGTTTGTGTTACATATAACCTTTTGAAGAAATTGTCTGAATCAACATCCTCCAAATAGTTCAGTATCGTAAAAGTTTTAATGAGATCAGCCCTATCATGTCTGGTTTGTAGTGTTGTTAGCCCTGTGGCCCTCAACCGTTTCTGAGATGAGAGTTGACTTAGCTCTAGAATGACTTTTGTTGCCCAGTGTTGTACTTTTCCAAAAGCAACTATATGCTTCTGAAGATGTGGTCTCCATGATTGGATACAATAATCCAAGTGGGGGCATACCAGAGACTTATACAGTTGAATCACTACCTTCTTTTCCTTAAAGTCAAAGATATGCTTGAATGTTTTTGTTTCTACCACAAACGTGGCCACACATTAACAATGCTAACCAGCATATATACATTATTGTTTGATTATTCCTTGGGTTGATTATTCTAGCTTAATTATTCCTTGGGTTGATTATTCTAGCTTAAAAATAAAAGAAAATAAAAGATTAAAAATAATCTAGCTTGATTATTCCTTGGGTTGATTATTCTAGCTTAATTATTCCTTGAGTTGATTATTCTAGCTTAATTATTCCTTGGGTTGATTATTCTAGCTTGATTATTCCTTGGGTTGATTATTCTAGCTTGATTATTCCTTGAGTTGATTATTCTAGCTTAATTATTCCTTGGGTTGATTATTCTAGCTTGATTATTCCTTGGGTTGATTATTCTAGCTTGATTATTCCTTGAGTTGATTATTCTAGCTTAATTATTCCTTGGGTTGATTATTCTAGCTTGATTATTCCTTGGGTTGATTATTCTAGCTTGATTATTCCTTGAGTTGATTATTCTAGCTTAATTATTCCTTGAGTTGATTATTCTAGCTTAATTATTCCTTGAGTTGATTATTCTAGCTTGATTATTCCTTGGGTTGATTATTCTAGCTTGATTATTCCTTGGGTTGATTATTCTAGCTTGATTATTCCTTGGGTTGATTATTCTAGCTTGATTATTCCTTGGGTTTGGTTAGCTTTTTTAGCTCCCACTCCCACTTGTTGTGGAACTTTCAGTGAATGGTGAATTCTGACGCCAAGGTCCTTTTCTTCATCAATTTGCTGCGATGATTTTGGGGTTCCACGTCCCCGCGGTCCGGTCCCCGACCAGGCCTCCTCGTTGCTGGACTGGTCAACAAGGCTGCTGGACGCAGCTGCTCGCAGCCTGACGTATGAATCACAACCTGGTTGATCAGGTAATGGCCTGGTTGATGCAAGGTAATGTTATTACTGTAATTTGGTAGTTGTGACGTGAGTTGGTGAGCCTCACATTCAAGGTGAAGCCTCACATTCAAATGGTCAATATCGACCATTTGTCGATATTGAAAAACTGTATTTGTTATGAAGGCTTTGGCAAGTGGAAGAGAAGAAGAGAGTGGATGACTAACTTTCCATAATGACAAGTAACACAAAGTTAGAGGATTCTTAGAAATAATACCTTGGAAACTAGAGATATTGATGTGTTGCCACTATCTCAAGACGTAGGCAAGGAAGGAACATGCCAGTGTAGGCGTGAGACTGATCCAACAACAAGGCTCCACAATACATCATACACACAACCAGACAATCTCCAGATATATCATGGCCAGGTTACACAGGCTGGAATACACTTCAATCCAAGGCATACTAACAAAAAAGTCTAGTTTGAATAATTCTGACCTTAGCATTGGAATGAAGAAGAGCGTTGACCGCCACCTTGGTAGTGACGCGGATGTTACTGGCTTGCTGGCCGCCATCTTGCCACTCGCTGATGTAGAGCAGCCATTCCGAGGGACTCAGGTGCTCGAACATGTTGCAGAACTGACAACAACAAATATATTTTAAACCTTACTATAACATATATTATCTGCAAGTTTATGCCACTTTAGAATACTGCACTGAGCCTAAGTCAGTAACTTGTGTACAATGTGTTGTGGACAGTGTGTTGTGGACAGTGTGTTGTGGAAAGGCTCCAACTTTGCCTGTCTCACAACCCTTCCCGTCTCCTAGCACGACTCACTCTCACCATAATACAGTATACGCAAGTCTTGTAGGTTTACAATCAATCCAGAAATATTACTTTAACTTGGAAACTAATGGGAACAAATGTCAATAGAGGTGTCAAGAGCCTAGGGTAGCTGTGTAGTGAGAATATGTGATGAACTTACAAAGAGAGCGAGAGACTCCTGGTGTTCTGGAGGAAGACTCTCGACCTTGTTGGCGTAGTTCATGATTGTGTGATCGCGACGGTCCTGGTGCAGCAAGAGTATCACGTCGTCCTTCAGGGCCGCAGCAGCCATGATGCGGACCAAGTGCAGTCGTGCCTCGTCTGGGATATTGGGGTCATGAAGCACTCGGGCAAAGAGAATGCTAAAGTTTTCTCCAAGTGCCCAAGAGCCTTCGTCTTCAACAACATATGCTCGTAGTTCTTCCATGTGGCCCTGTTCTTCTGGGCTTAAGAGGTGGGCACAGGCAGCTACCAGTCCATCAAACTCTACGTGTATCTATAATGCCAAATATTTGCAAACTTGAGCACCCTTCATGCAAAACTATACATGTGTGTTTTATTAAACTGTTATAATAATAAAATACAAGCTTTTTAATATATGTATTATTTTAGTGTGTATAAACCAAATAAAACTATATAATTTTTGTATAAATTATGTTGAGATCAAACAATTATGTAGAGAAAATAACACTACAAATGTGGCAGCCCCGCCTGTTACAGGAACTGCAGCAACGTTGTCATGCAGGTCATATAGGAGCTACGGTGGTAGTGGTAGACGAAGACTGGTGGTAGGTGGGTGATAGTTGTGGGGTCCCCGTCGGGGCACGCAGATGGCAGGGTAGTCAGGTGAGGCTGCAGATACCCACCTTCTCAACGATGTTGGTGTAGACCACTGGTGGCTCATACGGGCGCGCAGGGCCCAGGTAGCAGAGCAGGGCAGACTGAGGCTCTGGGGAGCCAGGGTCAGTGTCACTGTACCGCGGCACAGGCCGATAAACCATGACTGACTCTTGCGACCCATGCAGAGCTCTGTTTGGGGACTCCAACAGGATGGGCGAGTCTGTAGAAGGGGGGCGGTCTGGAGGTGTTTCACCTTGAGGGGCTGGAGACGTGGAGCAGGAAGATGGGGCCAGGTCAAAGGTGGAAATAGATTCAAAAGAAGATGGAGCACGTGGAATTTGCCTTAAGAAAGAGGATAAGGATTCTAAGGAATAGGCACGAGAAGGAGGAGTGACACGGGGAACAACTGGAGATGTGGGCTGAGAACGGGCTGCAGGGGAAGGCGTTGGTTGTGGAGATGGAGGAACAGGAGATAAGTTGAAGTGAGAATGTGCTGGACCTTGAGACTGTGATTGAAGCTGTAGGGTAGAGCATGAATCATAGGAAAGTGATCGTGATCTTGATCTCCAGGTTAGGCAAGATTCATATGAAGTTGATCGTGAGATTCCATGCATCTGTCTAAATGCAGCATTATTTATTTCAAAGTACTGTTGGTCGGGAGTAACCGTACGCATAGTATCTACTGAAGACACAGAAGCATTTGAATTACAACGACTTAGTTCTGGAGGTGAGGGTGAGGCTTCAGGAGAGGACAGCAATTCTTCAGGTGTTGGGACACGTCCAATTGGGTCGACTACATACAGGAAATAATATGAGGACCCAAACGACAGTGCTGATGTTGAGGAAGACGTGGATAAATCTGAAGCTGCTGTTGAAGAGCGGGAAAGTGACGGTGGGAGGATGGGTGATGTGTGTCCAGCATGAGAGGGTGTGGAGGAGGGGTCGGGATAACGTGGTGGGGAGGAGGGGTCGGGATAACGTGGTGGGGAGGAGGGGTCGGGATAACGTGGTGGGGAGGAGGGGTCGGGATAACGTGGTGGGGAGGAGGGGTCAGGATAACGTGGTGGGGAGGAGGGGTCGGGATAACGTGGTGGGGAGGAGGGGTTGGGATAACATGGTGGGGAGGAAGGGTGGGGATAACGTGGTGGGGGGAGTTGGGAGGGAGGGGAGGCTGGAGTGTGGAATGAAGGCATTAATAATGGATCTGACAAATTGTTGTTGACATCAGAATCTTCAGATTTAGATGAATGTGAAGATGTGATGGAGCTTTTTCCTGAGGATTGAGAAGAGGAAGAGGATGTTGATAGAGAAGTAGAGGAAGAGGATGAAGACAAAGATGATGATGACGAAGAATAAAAAAATAACGGGGAGGAATTAGAGGATGAGGTGGACCCCAAATATAAATTAGAAGACGATGAAGAAGCCGACAAAGACAAACATGGGGAGAGGCTGCGTGATCTAGAGGCGGAGACGAGGTGGGACCACACGGCATACTCAGAAGCACCCTCACCACTACCAACATCAGTACTCACATCCAGTTCCTCTTTGAAGACAATTGGAGGTTCACGTTCAACCTCAGGCTCAGGTTGTACGGGAGAAGACTCTCTTGGAGGCTCACTGGAGCCCTCAGGAGGTGCAGGTGCAACTTCCTCTAACTCTACTTCAGGGGTAGAGTCCGCCATTGTACTATGTGTCGTTAATACGGTGGATGGGTGAGAGTTTGTGGCAGGTAACCTGCTCTCTGCTGGAGGTGTTGGGCCTCTGCTGGCCGGCGACGGCAAGCGCTCAAACGCTTCAGGCTCTGTTGAAACAATTTCACCGCTACTGGAATTCTCTACTGATGCTAAAGTTGTATTAATATTGTCGAGAGTCTGTGTTACCTCTTGCAAGGGATCTAACAAGATATCAGGCGGGGTATCGCCCTCAGAGTTATTACGAGAGTGTGAAGCAGACTGAAGCCCTGAACAGCAGGGAGAGTTCTGCTGCTCTTCTATTGTCTCAACAATACTCTGCCTTTTTGTCTTATTCTCTGATAATTCTCCACTAGATATTGATTTCTTTTTTTTCTCTTTTCTCTCTTTCCTCTCTTTCTTTTCTTTCCTATCTTTCTTTTTCTTCTCTTTCCTAATAACCTTTTCGTTTATAGAGTTTCTGCGGTCTTCAAGTTTAATTCCCTGTAGTCTGAAAAAAGAAAACATGAACTAAGAACAGAATATTTATATCTATAAAATATATTTGTTATTATAACTATTTCTTTATGAGACCGCAAGCCTTGTCTGCAGGAAGAGGGAGTTTCTGTAATGGTGCCCTCAACACTAAGGCTACACTGTGTGTTTACCCCAAGGCTCTCTACCACACCCACCTCCCTCTCATGGTGTAATGGTGGCCCTCAACACTGTAAGGCTACACTGTGTGTTTACCCCAAGGCTCTCTACCACACCCACCTCCCTCTCATGGTGTAATGGTGCCCTCAACACTGTAAGGCTACACTGTGTGTTTACCCCAAGGCTCTCTACCACACCCACCACCCTCTCATGGTGTAATGGTGCCCCTCAACACTGTAAGGCTACACTGTGTGTTACCCCAAGGCTCTCTACCACACCCACCACATTCTCATGGTGTAATGGTGCCCTCAACACTGTAAGGCTACACTGTGTGTTTACCCCAAGGCTCTCTACCACACCCACCTCCCTCTCATGGTGTAATGGTGGCCCTCAACACTGTAAGGCTACACTGTGTGTTTACCCCAAGGCTCTCTACCACACCCACCTCCCTCTCATGGTGTAATGGTGGCCCTCAACACTGTAAGGCTACACTGTGTGTTACCCCAAGGCTCTCTACCACACCCACCTCCCTCTCATGGTGTAATGGTGGCCCTCAACACTGTAAGGCTACACTGTGTGTTACCCCAAGGCTCTCTACCACACCCACCTCCCTCTCATGGTGTAATGGTGCCCCTCAACACTGTAAGGCTACACTGTGTGTTACCCCAAGGCTCTCTACCACACCCACCACATTCTCATGGTGTAATGGTGCCCTCAACACTGTAAGGCTACACTGTGTGTTTACCCCAAGGCTCTCTACCACACCCACCTCCCTCTCATGGTGTAATGGTGGCCCTCAACACTGTAAGGCTACACTGTGTGTTTACCCCAAGGCTCTCTACCACACCCACCTCCCTCTCATGGTGTAATGGTGGCCCTCAACACTGTAAGGCTACACTGTGTGTTACCCCAAGGCTCTCTACCACACCCACCTCCCTCTCATGGTGTAATGGTGCCCCTCAACACTGTAAGGCTACACTGTGTGTTTACCCCAAGGCTCTCTACCACACCCACCTCCCTCTCATGGTGTAATGGTGCCCTCAACACTGTAAGGCTACACTGTGTGTTTACCCCAAGGCTCTCTACCACACCCACCACCCTCTCATGGTGTAATGGTGCCCCTCAACACTGTAAGGCTACACTGTGTGTTTACCCCAAGGCTCTCTACCACACCCACCACCCTCTCATGGTGTAATGGTGCCCCTCAACACTGTAAGGCTACACTGTGTGTTTACCCCAAGGCTCTCTACCACACCCACCACCCTCTCATGGTGTAATGGTGCCCCTCAACACTGTAAGGCTACACTGTGTGTTTACCCCAAGGCTCTCTACCACACCCACCACCCTCTCATGGTGTAATGGTGCCCCTCAACACTGTAAGGCTACACTGTGTGTTTACCCCAAGGCTCTCTACCACACCCACCACCCTCTCATGGTGTAATGGTGCCCCTCAACACTGTAAGGCTACACTGTGTGTTTACCCCAAGGCTCTCTACCACACCCACCTCCCTCTCATGGTGTAATGGTGCCCTCAACACTGTAAGGCTACACTGTGTGTTTACCCCAAGGCTCTCTACCACACCCACCTCCCTCTCATGGTGTAATGGTGGCCCTCAACACTGTAAGGCTACACTGTGTGTTTACCCCAAGGCTCTCTACCACACCCACCTCCCTCTCATGGTGTAATGGTGCCCTCAACACTGTAAGGCTACACTGTGTGTTTACCCCAAGGCTCTCTACCACACCCACCACCCTCTCATGGTGTAATGGTGCCCCTCAACACTGTAAGGCTACACTGTGTGTTTACCCCAAGGCTCTCTACCACACCCACCACCCTCTCATGGTGTAATGGTGCCCCTCAACACTGTAAGGCTACACTGTGTGTTTACCCCAAGGCTCTCTACCACACCCACCACCCTCTCATGGTGTAATGGTGCCCCTCAACACTGTAAGGCTACACTGTGTGTTTACCCCAAGGCTCTCTACCACACCCACCACCCTCTCATGGTGTAATGGTGCCCTCAACACTGTAAGGCTACACTGTGTGTTTACCCCAGGTGTAAACCTCATCTACCACACCTACCTCCCTCTTATCCCAATATAAAATAATGCGGCGTTGATAAATCAACAAATAAATGCATATTTTGATAGTTAAGATTGTATAACCTAAGTGTGAAGTAAAGCTTTCAACTTTTCCAGAGTTGTTGTACATGGAGGAGCGGCGGCCCGCAGGCCCACCACAGCCCGACTGGTCCCACACGTCTTGCAGAAAAGTATTCAGTTTTCTCCTGAAGATATCCACCTTTGTTCCGGCAATATTATACTCGCTGGGAGGATGCTACTGATATCATCAACTGGAAAATCACTGTTTACTTTCAAGTAAATAGCTAAAGGTTTTTGTAATGGAAAACAACAACAGTAATATTTTGCAAGTATTTGCAAGTATTTACCTACTTAAAATTTTCTTAGATTAAGGACCTGCCCGAAACGCTGCGCGTACTAGTGGCTTTACAAGATTGTAATTACCATATTATGTATCCTCACAATCCCAATGTACCTTCTTGTATATATATATAAATAAATAAATAAATAAATAAATAAATAAAAATATTGATATTTATTGATAATATCAATATCTGCAAAAGTATAATGTGTGTTGAATGTCTAAAACTATATTGCCAAACTGTTCACGGAGAGTCTCTAAAGCTTTTGAAAACTTGAAGAAAAATTAAGAATTACATGTTGTTAAAGCAGACAAATCAAACCAACAAGAAGTAATACCAAAACACAGGCTGTGTGGTACCCTTAGAAGGTGAGACTAAACAAGTTATAATGGACGATAAAAGGCCACCAAACAATGTGAGTGAACACTTTACACGAGTGTTCACATTAGAAACATTAGATCACATCCCATTATCCACACTAATGCTTGAAGGAGAAGAGAAGGAATTAAGTGATATAAGACCATAACATGAGACATTATCAGGAAGAACAGTGATAAACTAAGACTCAAAAGCCCCAGATGTGGATGGAATACAATCTCAAGTCATAAAGGAACTGACAGAAGAACTATGCGTACCGCTGAAACTACTTACACAAAATCTCTGGACTAAAGGATAGTCCCCTTAGACTGGAAATATGCTAATGTCATCCCTATTTACCAAAAAAAAAAAGACAGAAAGAGATCACCAAAAAACTACCATATGATCAGCTTGACTTCACACACCTCCAAGCTCACTAGAATGGAGAGAATCCTAAGGGAAGAAATCATTCACCATCTTTTAATGAACAATTTTATAAAATCAACACAACATGGCTTTGTTAAAAATAGATCCTGTCTTACCAACCTGCTCACATCTTCGGAGACGTTAGCCAGCTGTTATATATAGTACGTGAGCGTTTAACATGATCAGTATAGTGATAATTACTAACCTGACTTGGTCGATGGCATTGTTGAGTTCTTCCAGTTCGCGAGAGTCGTCGTGGCGGCGGGACGTGACCTCGGAGGGCACGTAGCTGTGCAGGTTGTTGTTGAAATTGGCAAAGTTAACTTTTCTTGAATCTGATGATTTGATGTCCAGGTCCTTCAAAAGTGTCTTAAGTGTTTCTCCAAGTGCACTGAGGAAACAAGGTAGGGGTCATCAGTACTCACTGTGGGGTCATCAGTACTCACTGTGGGGTCATTAGTACTCACTGTGGGGTCATCAGTACTCACTGTGGGGTCATTAGTACTCACTGTGGGGTCATCAGTACTCACTGTGGGGTCATCAGTACTCACTGTGGGGTCAAGAGTGTGTTGAGGAAACAAAGTGGGGTCATCAGTACTCACTGTGGGGTCAAGACTGTGTTGAGGAAACAAAGTGGGGTCATCAGTACTCACTGTAGGGTCAGGAGTGTGTTGAGGAAACAAGATGGGGTCATCAGTACTCACTGTGGGGTCATCAGTACTCACTGTGGGGTCATGAGTGTAAAAATCGGGCAGAAAATCTTGCAATAGTCGCTGAAATTAAGAGAGCTGTGAGAGTACTTACCAATCAGGGAAGAGTCAAGTTTCTGTGGATCCCCTCCCATGTTGGAATATGTGGGAATGAACGAGCAGATGTGCTGGCTGCTGAAGGCGCTGAAGGAGACCATATTGAATACTTCATACCCAAGACTACTACAAATTAGAGGTATTGTCAGGCAACATCACCGTGACAAGGTAACTGAGGAAAGGAGGATAGAAGCACAAACCAGTGAATCTGTACGATGGTACAACATGGTTGCAGCTGGCAATCCCAATCATTATGGCCGAAGAGAAGGAGGACGAGGGAGAGAATCAGTAATAGCGAGAATCCGTCTTGGATACAAATATCCATGGAGATACGGAATGGAAATAACAGTTGATCAGCGAAGTTGCAGAATCTGTGGTGAGTGATGGACACCGCCTTGACCACTATCTACGTGAATGTGAACACCTGAGAGACATTAGAAATATGTGTAGAATAATAAACCCCACATTGTTTGAGTTAGGAAAACACTATTTGTCAAATATAGATACTGTTCTTAAAAGATTCCTCAATTTTGCACCCGCAAGATAACGTAAGATTTTAAGGGTTGATAGATGTTAATCTTCTTGTTTGAGGAGCTGTTCACTTGAGACAGTTAAGCAAGTCCCAGCTGTGTCTGGGTAGAAGTGATAGGATGAACAACCCAGCGGGTTTTCTTCCTATTGGGGAGTGTTGTACATGCTGCTATGGCGGTATGGCCACTCACAGGATGAGCGGCTCTGCCCAATAAACTCGCCCCTCGGGGCAAAATGTACAAATTTAAAATTTGTACTGAGGAAGCAAGATGGGGTCATCAGTGCTCACTGTGGGGTCCAGAGTGTGTTGAGGAAACAAGATGGGGTCATCAGTGCTCACTGTGGGGTCCAGAGTGTGTTGAGGAAACAAGATGGGGTCATCAGTGCTCACTGTGGGGTCAAGAGTGTGTTGAGGAAACAAGATGGGGTAATCATTACTCACTGTGGGGTCATCATTACTCACTGTGGGGTCATCATTACTCACTGTGGGGTCATCAGTACTCACTGTGGGGTCATCAGTACTCACTGTGGGGTCATCATTACTCACTGTGGGGTCATCATTACTCACTGTGGGGTCATCATTACTCACTGTGGGGTCATCAGTACTCACTGTGGGGTCATCAGTGCTCACTGTGGGGTCATCAGTACTCAGTATGGGGTTTCTTCCTTTACGGATGGTTGAGGGCGTGCGCGCGCAAACTGTTGCCACTACACACACTCTGGTGTGCTCTGTATCTATACAACTGTGAACTGCAACATTAATCCTGTCCTCACACACACCCTAGAGGGCAGTAAGAGGAGCCATGGCCGCCACACGGGGAACACTCCCTGAAAGTTTCTAGAGTTTATTTACTTCTCTTCTGTAGTTCTGCCTTGCCTATGTTGCCAGTTGTGTTGTTCAACCACCGTACGGCATGGTGGTGGTCTTGGCTTGTGTGCTTTTGTTCATCTTTATTCTTCACATGCTTCCCGTGCTTTGTTACCTGGGGCAGGGCAGGAGGCGGGGTGCTAGGGGGCCAAGACCTGGCCCACTCCTAGAGCTGCAGGGCAGGAGGCGGGGTGCTAGGGGGCCAAGACCTGGCCCACTCATAGAGCTGCGGAGAGCAGATCACACAACCACCAGAAAGTTAGAGTGAAACAAAATAGACAGGTCCAAACAACTCAGAAAATTGGTCACCCTATAATTAATTTTTTCCTCTTCCGTTTCCAAGGCAGCTGATATCTTGTAGCTGCGACTCTCGCCTTGCAGTTGCTCAGTCGTCGTCTTTTGGAGCGGAGTTGTATCCTTGCTGCTTGGGGCGGTTTTCTAGAGTTTGGGCCTCGCCTGTAGTTGGTCGATATAGGCTTCCAGGCACGGGAAGGCTTCCAGGCACGGGAAGGCTTCCAGGCACGGGAAGGCTTCCAGGCACGGGAAGGCTTCCAGGCACGGGAAGGCTTCCAGGCACGGGAAGGCTTCCAGGCACGGGAAGGCTTCCAGGCACGGGAAGGCTTCCAGGCACGGGAAGGCTTCCAGGAACGGGCAGAGTCTTGTCTTGTCACACTTACCGACGTGTGCACATTTGTGGCATCTGCAAAAGATGACACAAAGCTCTGATTTCTATTGTTGTCTATATCCAATATGAGAATGAGAAAAGTCAGTGGTGCAAGGACTGAGGCACAGAGCTTTTCACTGTGCTTGTACTTGCTTTTGTTTAAATGACGTTTTCTCTGTGTTCTGTTTAACAGGAAATTGAATATCCATCGCCCTTCTTTATCTGTTATTCCAAATGATCACATTTTATATGCTATCACTCCAATGTCACACTTATCAAATGCCTTTGCAAAGCCAGTGACCACATCTGCAGTCTGATGTTCTTCTGATGCATGATTTTATCATAGTGGTCGAGGAACTGGAAAAGGAATGATGTTCCCGCTCTACCTCCATGTTGGCCTGGGTTGTGATGGTCCTGGGTGTCCTCCATGAACCTGGTGGCAGCCACTGGCTTTCAGATCTTCTCTCCAATATATATGATAAAGCTCCTCTTCTCCATATTTAGAAGATTCACAGTTTGCAATTTAGTGTCAATTTATTTCAGTTTGAAAATATGTACAATACGATGTCTTCAGAAAAACATAATCTCTCGACTCTTTGACCCTGAATGCAAGTCTATTTAAATTAAAGATCATGCAAAACTCTCTGGACTGATCTTTGTGGTCAGCCTCACACGGTGGTCACCTCGCCATTACCTACAAACTCAGTGTTCAATGGGCCTTCCTTACTAAAACATACCTCCTGGGGGTGCTGCTCCATTTGCACTCCTCTCTGGTGCTGTTTAAACTCTCAACAAATCCACAAGGGCCGTGACGAGAGTTCAAACCTACGTCCGAGAGCATCCCAGCCGCTGCCATAATCGACTGAGCTACGACATGGTAAAAGAATTGCAACCAGAAATTCTACTGAATTTACTTGGATCCTGCAGCCTCTCCGAGACACAAACCAGGATTTTACACAATTCCCTTGTGAAAAGCCTGGTTTGTCACTCGGAGAGGCTGCACGATCCAAGGTAGTTTAGTAGAACTTCTGGTTGCAATTCTTTTACCATATCATAGTTCAGTTGATTAAGGCAGCGGCTGGGATGCTCTCGGACGTAGGTTCGAACCCTCGTCACGGCCCTTGTGGATTTATTCATTTGATGCATCACGCTATTGTGATTTCTGTGTGTTTAAACTCTACTATGGATCCCCTTCATATTCATCGGATTTTTCGACCTCAATTCTGTTTTCTTGGCGCTTTGTATCATTGAGGTTCGCACTTCAGCTTGAGAGTCTTTTAATCTTACCCAAAGCAACGTTTAAATTTAGAAACCACTATTACCTTTCAACTCATCCTCTACTCGAGTCCATTATGGGTTCGTATCCTGGCCGGGGAGGATTTACTGGGCGCAATTCCTTAACTGTAGCCTCTGTTTAACGCAACAGTAAAATGTGTACTTGTTTGTAACAACGATTCTTCGCGGCGGGGATCGTATTCCAGGGACCTGCCCCAAACGCTACGCGTGCTAGTGGCTGTACAAGAATGTAACAACTCTTGTATATATCTAAAAAAAAAAAAAAAATTGTATCCAGCGGTCAACTCCACAGACGCATTTATCAATATAACATGCTTTTCATTCAAAACGGGAATTTTCACAAATAAAAATTAATATTATAATATATATTAGCATATTGTGTATATATAGGCATAGGTTAGATGTTCAGGTTCTGTTGGCGATTATTTGTATTTGTAGTACGTGGGTGAAGCATTTATAGCGTTGTGGTTCGAACAAAAGTCGTCAGTGAAGCACTTGTTCCGGAAGTGTTTGGATGAAATCAGTTGAGTCGTGTGTAAACCGTTTTTCATTCATAAACACCAGGGGATTTGGCGGGTGGATGGAATAACTTTCGGGTCTTTATTTGGAGGACGGGCTGCTCTCTCTGCAGCCCGTCCTCGAATACAAAGATCCATTTGTACAATACATAGCTCGTTAATCCACCCACCAAACCCCCTGTTTATGAATGAAAAACTGTTTTAACTCGTGTAAGTAACTGCAGGAAGGTGGGTTGTGTCTACCATACACTCTCCAGCAAGGGAACATTACAACAATATGTGGCGGCCTTTACAAGTGTACGGGGGCAGGTCAGTGGACCACCAGAGTGTCAGCGGGCGGGGGCTGGACCCTCCACCCTCACGCCCTCACCAAAGGTGAAATAACTTTTCATAAACATCCATATTTTATTAAATTTAATTTGGCTTAAACCGTTACAATGTTTATATATATATATATATATATATATATATATATATATATATATATATATATATATATATATATATATATATATATATATAACATACACGAGAGAATGAAGTGCAATATCGCACTAATCAATGAAAATAATAAGCCAGTATTTTCAAAACCTGGGATCCTCTTGAGCAGTGATCCTCTCCTCACTGCTCAAGAGGATCCCGGGTTAGGACACACACAGTCTACAAATCCTCACGTCTTCAAAACAATGGGTTATTATTTTCATGTGT